CGCAGCCTGGAGGATTCTGGGAGAGGCAGTGGGCGTGGGGGAGGGGTGGCACAGGACAATAGGGCCTTGTATCCCATGCAGGCAAAACGTGGCTGGACCCCACTGGCCAGTGCAGCGGTTCCTTGCAGAGTCAGGTATCTGCCCCAAACGGACGGGAGGCGGATGAAGAGGCGCTCACTGCAGTGTGAGCACTGGCTCCGCATCAGAGGCCCACGGCGGGGACTATTTTGGTCAGGAAGCTGGGGACATGTGTCGCCTTGGAGAACAAACCAGAACAAACCAGGGCACCCGAGGGGCCGCCGGCCTCCCCCCTGCCCCACCAGCCCCTGCGGGCCTCCCCCCTGCCCCCCCCACCCCTGCCGGCCTCCCCCGCTGCCCCCCCACCCCTGCCGGCCTCCCCCGCTGCCCCCCCAGCCCCTGCGGGCCTCCCCCCTGCCCCCCCAGCCCCTGCGGGCCTCCCCCGTGGCCTCCCCAGCCCCTGCCGGCCTCCCCCTCCCCCCCCCCCCCCAGCCCCTGCTCTTTATCAGTCTCCTCCTCCCTCGGGCTGCAAACAAAAGGTCGTGGGTACCTGGGCCTGGGAGACACCGTGACACAGGATGTTCCCAGCATTTGGGATATTTCCTCCGCCGTCTGACTGATATGTCCTAGAGAGAGCACAGGGTTCTCGAGGGAGCGTGGGGCTGTAAAAACTCCAAAACACAGGAATAACAAAGCCGTAAATCTGGGCCTGCCACAGCCACTCTCAGCTGAGGGCGTCTGGCTCAGGCCATGCCCTGTGGCCACAAGAGGCCCAGGAGCTTAGGTCAGAATCCTAAGGGGTAGAAGGCAGCATGAAGTGGGGCTTTCCACAGGCCCACACGGGGCTGGCCCCTGTCAGGGGCAGGAGCTCACATCAAGCAGTGGCCTCCTGTGTGCAGCAAGTGGGAGCCGGGCAGGCCGGGGAGTGGGAGCCGGGCAGGCCAGGGAGCGGGAGCCGGGCAGGTGGGAAGTGGGGGCAGCAGTGGGGATGGGGCCAGAGTTCCCCTTTGGCACCCCGGCAGAACAAGGGCTGACTCCCGTCTCTGTTCTCTTTTAGATGAGCAAGTTATTTACCCTAACAAAGCTGGAGGGTCCTCCTCTGTAAAATGGGGCTAATGACATCACCTGCTTTAAAAGTTTGATTGTGAGAGTGAGATGAGATAATGTCTGTTAGGCACGGGGTGTGATGACAGGGAGACAGAGTTCGCACTCACCGTATTTCCCCATTCCCTACCACTCCCCCTCCTCACAACTGCCACCAAGGCTAAGGATCTATCAGCTCATGTCCACTCTGCAAACAGAAGTCACACCAGGTATTTTACATGGAGGGATTTAATATAGGGGGCTGGTTTTACAGGTGAGGACCCAGGGGAGCTGCCAAACTGCAGGTGGTGAGGCGCCTCAGGGATCAGCCACAGCAGAAAGTCACTCCTGGAGTTGGAGTGACAAAGGAGGAGATGGTGTGATGGAACCCAGGAGCTAGGGTCACCTGGTGAAAGCTGGACCCTTGACAACCTGTCCAGTGGGAATAGGGACCATGGAGGGAAGGGCATTCCTATGGGAGCTAGAGCCAGAAGGAGGTAGAGAGAGAGAGGGAGATGGTGGGGGGTTGGGGGGAGGTGGTGGAGAGAGAGAGAGAGAGAGAGAGGAGAAATACTTTTCTCAGAAGTCCTCCACCAGTGCCTCCCACTGGCTGAACCTGCCCAGAAGTCAGAGCACACAGGAACCTGGAAAATGTAGTTCCCCGTGATACAAAGCAGGGGAGGGGTGGAAGTGGCAGCCCAGTGACCAGCAGAGACCAAATATCATGGAGGTTAATGATAGGGGTCTGGGGAAGAGATTTCCTGGCCCTGAATCCTACCTTCCTACTTTTTAGCTGAAATTACTTCATATAAATTATATGACCTTTCTTGGCCTTGGTTTCTCATCCACAAATGGGATATTGAAAAATGTTAAGTTATCAGGTTGTTAAGGAGAGCAAACCTAATACCACCTATGAAGCCATCACCCAAGGCCTTGGTCCAGATCATACCCTCAAGAAACATCAGCCATCACATATGTCAGAAAACGGGTCAACCAGAGATCAGATCAAGGTCTGAGTACACCAGCAAATGTTGTTCAACTCTCAGCGTGGCAGTTGGCACAGCTGGCCTGGGGCCCTTGTCAAAGAAACCGGTATAACAACCATTTTCTTGGGAAGGAATCACTCATAAAAGCTTGCCACATCATCAGCCAAGAATGACATAAGCTCCTTGCTGAAGGTGGCTTCTGCGGGGAAGGAAGTGAGTTGAGGGGATCTCCTCCGTCACATACATTCTTCGGGGATTAGAAAACTGTTAGCTGTTACCGCAATGGAGACATTCAGCAACGGCCATGGGTCTTTGGAAATGTGTGCATATCCCTGCTTCTCGTTTCCTCATTCAGGAATCTAAACGTTCCTGACACCCTGGCACAACCTGTTGGCATGGCTTCTCATCCTGGTTGAGTACACACTGATCTCACGAGTGGGAAGAAAATGTTCTATTTGTGAGTGAGAGCCTCCAAAGTGACTTCTTCACTTCCTGAGGAGGATCTAAAAGAAGGCCACAGACTGAGTCATTCTCACCACACCCTGACTGGACCGCCAAGCTGGGAATCTCCTTTGTAGAGATGGGGGAGGGTAATGTTGCTGAAATCCACCCACCTGCTCCACATTATGTGCCAGGACCCCCAGGGATCAGAGCACAGTGGTCGTGCTCTGGGCCTTCCTGCCTTTGCCATGCTATTACTGGAGTGAGCCAGCTAAGCCAAACAGACTGCTGATGCTGAGGAGACTTATGTTACAAAAGTCTTTAGGGTTGCTTCTCGACTAGCTCTAAACGGAGTCCTTGGTGGCTGACATGAGGGTAAGTCTCACCAAAGTGTCTACAGAGAAAGTGGTGATGATAATGATGGTAATGATAATGATGGTGATGGTAGTGATGGTGATGGTAATGATGGTGGTGATGATGATGGTGATGTTGATAGTGATGATGATCGTGGTGATGATGATGGTGAAGATGGTGATGATGATGATGTTGATGGTGGTGATGATGGTGATGGTGGTAGTCATGGTGATAATGATGGTGATGGTAATGATGGTGATGGTGATAATGATGGTGATGGTGATAATGATGGTGATGGTAATGATGGTGGTGATGATGATGGTGATGTTGACAGTGATGATAGTGGTGATGATGATGGTGATTATGGTGGTGATGATGATAATGATGATGTTGATGATGGTGATGGTGGTGATGATGATCATGATGGTGATAGTGGTGGTGATCATGATGATGATAGTGATGGTGATTATGGTGGTGATGATGATAATGATGATGTTGATGATGGTGATGGTGATGCTGATGATGTGTGATGGTGGTGGTGTTGGGGATCATGATGGTGATGATTGTCATGGTTATGGTGATGATGATAGCTATCATTCATTGAGTTCTGTGCTAAGTCCCCTATACATTCTATTTAACACTGTCAGACACCCAGTAAGCCAGATGCTATGCTGTAAAATTGTCCTCATTTTACAGATGAAAAAAACTGAGGCTTGGAGGAGTGAAGTAACCTGCCTGGGCCACACCATTAGTAAGTGGTCAGGCACAGTTACTGCAGGTCTGTCTGGTGCCGAAGCCTGCATATATGTTTAGTACCTCCTGGCCTCATGCCAGGCACAGTGCTGGACCCTGGGGATACTGTGGCCACTAAGGTGAAGGGGACTGGGTCATGGGACTTATGGTTCTAGTGCAGTGAAATAAGATTTGCTAAAGAGCAGAGTCTTTCACGGTTTATTCTAAGCTACAAGGGCTGCTAGATTCTGAGGATCAGTCAGACATGAGAGCAGAGAGCACAGACATTCCTCCTGGGAGGCCCGGGGAATGATCAGAACTGATCTCTGGAATGATGGAAGGTACCATGTAACCCACATCTACTGCTTTTCAGAGTGTGGCTGGGAAATCAGTTCAGGTGGACGGTGGAAGTGGATGGGGAGGAAAAGACACAGCAGCATGGCTGAGTGTTGCGAGTTGACTCTTGCTGGACTGGAAGGTCAGATAAAGAGCCTTACAGCCCCTGACTTTGTAAGGCAGTGCACACAGACATAGGGGACATGGGCTTTGGGGACTCAAGATTCAGAACCTTCTCTCCACAGTCCCATGACTTTGGATAGGAGATTCCACCTCTCCCAGCCTTGGTTCCCCACTTGTACATCAAGGACTGATAGAATACCTCCTTCCTGGAGTTACCAAGGACTTAGATGAGCCAGGGCAAACAATGCCTTCCACTGTGTGTGCTCTCCGGACGTACCACTGGTGCGGTGACTATGCCCATTGAATCTGCAATATGTGATGATGAGGGCCTTGTTTCCCATGTGACAGATCTGGAAACTGAGGCTTGGTGAGGCGAGGTTTAAGTGGTAGGGCTAGATGATAACTCACAGCCTCTGAGGACTGGCCCAAGGCTTGAGCACAAGGCCAAGGGGGTCTCGTTTCCTTGAAGTTCTTTCTGTGTAATCGCCTGTTGTACCTGACCACAGCATCACCTTCTTATGTTATATCATATATTATAAACATTATATAATATTCACCTTCTTATGTTATATCATATATTATAAACGTTATATAATATCTAGCATATTACATATTAGGTATATATATTGTATAACATGTAAATATTATGCACTGCAAACATTTTATGTAATAGAATAGGATATCACAATGTGTGTAGGTTAAAGTGGGCTTAGTTCATGAAACTCCAGGAGGTGGTTGGGGACACCTGGTGAGTTGTGAAACCAGCTGGGGACATGCTGGCCCAGACCCCCAGGTGTTCTTGAAGAAGCATTTGGCTTCAGGAAAGAGAAGGTAGTTGCTGTTAATCCTGAGAGAGCCTTAAAAGATAATCGTGGCTTCACAACAAAGAAGAAATGAACAAATTTGCCTCTTGTCTACCCCTTTCAGAATCACCATGAGAACAGCTGGGACTCATTGACCAATGGCAGCTGGATGACCCGCAGTCGCCATCCACTGAATCCTTCCAGAAACACCTGCACGTGGAGGGAGGTATTGCTGTCTCCCCATTTTGCAGGTGAGAAAATGCAGCCCAGGGAGATGGCGGGATGTGGGGAGCCGGGAATCCCCCTCAACTCGTCTCCAAGGCTCTTGGCACAGCTCCGGGCCAGTGCAAGAGAGAAAACTCCTGAGCGGCATATCCCAGCTCGTCCTGTGGGGTAGGAAGGAAAGACTCCAGACACAATTAGAAGTGCTTCAGAGCGAGTGGAAAGTTCTCAGGAAATGTATTATCATTAGAGCTGGCCACTTGCCTCGCTGGATGGGGAGAGGGTGTGCATGTGCGTCTATGGTGCGTGCGCTCACCGTGCAACGTCCTATATGAAGTCCTTCTCCTCACAAAAAAGTAAAAAATTGGGCTCGCTTTCTTGCGTGAACTTTTTTTCCTGCCGTGTTTCTAAGAGAATCAGAGAGGTTGTCGAACCAAAGGGCAGGAGCTTGGTGTAGCTGGTTAAAGAAGGTCTCTGATTGCCTTGTAGATTCAGAAACTTCCCTTAAGCACCTCGTGCCTCAGTTTCCCCATCTCCAAGTGGTCTGAGAATAGAGAGGAGGGAATTGCTTGGAGTCCAAGGTCCGCTCTGGGTCCTGGGATTCTTTCTTTTGGCAAAGAAAAGCCAGAGAGGCAGTGTGATGTCACAGCTCAACGCAGGGCCTCCGCGCGGCCTGCGGGCTCTCCATGCTGGCTTTGCCCCCCTCCACTGTCTTGACCTTTGGAAAGTGTCTCCCCCACTGCTGTCAGTTTCCCCATCTGTAAAATGGAGATGAAAATGGAAATAACTATCTTTGGGTTCCATCCTTTGAGGTAAACCTTTCGGGAGATTGAGTTAGAACACACGCGATGTGCGTGAAACTACCCAGCACTGAGAGAGCTTGTCCATGCCATGTGTTTCTGGAGAAGGTGGCATCTTCCCGCCACACCTCTTCCTCCAGGTGATAGCACTGAATGGTCAGTCCTAGGGGGCTCAAGGAGGGGATTCCATTGGGAATTAATGGACATTTCCTAGGCCAGCCTCTTTCTTTCACCCGCGTATGCTCACTGCCTTCCAATGCTGATCTCAGAATTTAGTTCAGAGAATAACGCATGAATACAGGTGATAGAGACGCCTGGGTACGTAAGTACACCTGGGTGCACATGCAGAAACTCCTAGAAGGACTGATGTCATGAAGATGTGTCACGTTGGCGGGGGTGGAGGTGCTCAGGGCAGAGCCTTTCCTGGCAGGATTCATCTGTGGAAGCTCAGGGAGCGGGAGCAGGAGCAGGTGTGGCTGAGTGGGCTCCATTACTGTGAAGGGCAGGAGCTTCAGAGCTCCTGGGCTTCCCCGCATCCTTCCTGGCCCGGCCACAAGGACCTTATCTAGTAGCAGGGCAGGGGCAACAATGGCATTAATAATAGTAGCTGTCATAGCATCAGGTCATGGTATTGTACACACAATCTAAGTTTTAAAAATACATAATATTTTTCACACATAAGCTTATTTTTGTAACACAATATGGCACAGCAGGTACTAATATCTTCAGGGTACAGATGAGGAAACTGAGACACATATAGTGCAGCAACTCATCACAGTTGCAGGGCGAGAAGGTGGGTGGAGGGGCTGTGGCTTTGCAGCCATCTCTGCCATCCGAGCCCTGCGCACTGACCTTTGTGCAGGTGGGGGTCACCCGTGACGATGTGTCTCTGGGTGCCGTGTACGTGTGCAAGTGTACAATGAGGGACCTGGTTCGGGACGCTCAGGACAGGTTAACAGCAGGCAGTGGGGTTCTTAGCCTGCCTCTACCACTCGGGAGTTGGATCTGTGAGCTAGTTCTCCCCCACGTGCCTCGGTTTCCTCATATGAGGATAACAAGCCCTGCTCCTAGAGCAGCTGTGAAGAGATGAGAGAAACCCGTGGCTAGTTAGCTTCGTGCCTGGCTCATTGAAGGGGTCCGTAAGTGGCAGGCAGAGGACGGGTCGGGTCTGGTGGACCCCAGAGTTCCTCCCATGGCTGGGGACCTGCCACTCCGTCCACTCGTCAATAAGTTGTCTTCAAAGAAAATGTTCAAGGGAACATTTTCACCCTGCGCCATCCTCTTGAGGACAAAGACGGTGATTCTGAGCCTGGGCCTTGGAGCACCCGTTGGCCACGCTGGCCAGCAGAGCAGTTCTGGGAGGCCAGAGGGTGTTGGATGGCGGGGTCCGCGGAGTGACCGAGTGACGGTGCAGAGAATCCCCCGGCCTCTTCCCTTATCCTGAGGTGGCCAAGGACAACAGGAGGGAACACGGGGTTGGTCTGGACCAACAGGTGGAGCAGGAGGGTGCACACACCACCGACAGCATCAGCCTGTGGGGACGCGGTGGGAGAAGCCAGGAGCCCAGCTGCTCACAGCAGGATGGACATGGCGAAACCGGGCAGGGCCCTGCAAAGCCTTCCCAGGTACGGCAGGTGAGCTGGGCTCCAGACCCCCACCTGAAGGTGCGGGGCGGGTTGCGGAAGGGGATGAGGATCCAAAAAGTATCTATTGGTTGCTCTGTTCATCATCTGGGTGATGAAACAACGTGTTCACCAAACCCCTGTGACCTGCAGTTTACCGATATAACAAACATGCACATGTACCCCTGAGCCTAAGTTAAAAGTTAAACAAATCCCTCCTTGGAGCAGGAGAGGGAGAGACAGGGAAGCGTCTGGAGGCAGCAGCCTGTCTGGGGAGACGGGTCAGGTGAGGGAGGAGTTTGCTTCTACAACCTGAGCAGTTTAACCTGTAGCCCTAACTCACCTGAGGGCACCTGCCGGGGCCCAGTGCCTCCAGGGGTGTTTGTTCTGACTGCCCAGGCCCCAGCCAGGCTGGCTGTGAATATTTTCAGTGTCATCTGATCTTTCCATCTCCTTGACTGTCCTGTAGCGAGGACCAAAGGACTTTATTTCAGGACGTTCCCACCATTCCTGCAGGGTGACGCATACATGATAACCGTATCTGCAGGCATGGTGGGGTAAGCGGAGGATTTGGACATCCCTATGTTTGCTTTCTATAAAATAATTACGGGAAAATAGGATGCTAATTCTATTTTCATTTACATGAAATGAATAATAAATGACTTTACATTTGAATAGGCATGAATTGTCCAAGTAAATCATTTCAAAAATTTTAATGAGAAGCTTTAGCATACTTCTGTGAACGTAACTTTCTTTTTCGTGACAGTCTTACTGAGATGTAGTTAATCTACCATACAATTCAGCCGTGGAAAGTGTACAATTCAGTGGTTTTAAGTGTACTCACAGATTTATGCAACTATCACAACAATCAATTTTAGAACATTTTCATCATCACCCCCAAAAAACCATGCTCATTAGAAGTCACTCCTTTTACCCACCACCTCTGCAAACATAGCCTTTTTTTTTTTTTCAAAGAAAATCAGGTTTTACGCTGTAAATAGCTGTGTGCAATTCTTGGCCGACACATGAAGGTCCCTCTTCAAAATCTTGAAGTCACTATCGATGTGAAACTTTGGCTGCACAAGTTTGTGATAAAAAGATCTAGGAAGAATTTCAGAGAGTATTTAAAAATTTGAAGAGTTTAAGTGACTATCGAAGCATCCCATAGCTCGCTCTTTCTTTTCATGGCTAAATACAATGCTGACATGTACTGTGGTAATGAGGGTATGTCCTAAGCTTGGCTGTACTGGTTTGATTGGTTATCTCACAGCACTGGTGCTGCTGGAAGCTGGGAAGCACACACGCGTGGTTAGAACAGGCCCCGGCCCCTGGCCACCCAAAAGGTGCACCTGCAGGGAAACTGAGGCCTTCCTCTGGACTCTGCCCCTCCTCAAGGTCTCTCCTGAAAGGTCTGCATGCCGCCATGTGCTGACGGGGCTGGCGCCATCCATCCTTGCCCTGAGCCCTGCGGGGTTGGTGTGGTTGAGGGGTCTGCTGCCACGCTGCCTCTCCCAAGGAGGCTTGGGCAACCCAGTGAGGAGGAAACCTTGAATAAACTTCAGGAAGAACAAGTCCATTCTCCCACTTTCCCAGAACCCAAAGGGCTTCCACACTTTAGGGATGTGTTGTTTTTGAACCTGAGCCCATCATGGCCCTGGGCACTGATCAAAGAGAGTGGCTTGTTTTTCCTAAAAGTGTGCGGATGGGTCAGATCAGCAGAATTTCAGGTGCAGTGACTCAGCTTTTCCTCTGCTGCTACCACCTTCCCGACATGGCCCCCACGGGGTGGCATCCAGACCCTTTCCTCGGGCTTGCTTTTCTGGAGGCCCCCACACCGCGGTTAGGGTCTGAGATTCGGAATCAGACGGATAAATGGGTTTCAAGGTCTCACTTTCCAGCTGCTCAGAATGACCACCGGCACACTCCTTCGCTTCCCCGAATCTCAGTTTCCCATATTTAAAATGGTGATAAGACTGGTGGGCAATAGACACCGCCTCTTGGGAGGGTTAAGGTGAAATCAGAACAGGAGATGAGTGCAAAGTCCCCGGCAGCGTTCCTGGCACAGACAAAAACACTCGTGGCAAACGTAGAGTGGCCAGATTCCCCCTCAGCCTCCCCAGAGGCCGCTACACTTTGGTGGATCATTCCTGAGACCACTCACAGCTTCCTTCTTTCAACACTTGCCTCTCTCCACCAGAGAACTTTCTAGGCTGAAAGAGCATCCTTGGGCTGTGCAGGGAATCAGTGTCCTCAGAGCAGCCCCCTGAGGAGGGATGGAATAGGTGGAAAACACCCCCGTGTGTGTTTCTGGGGAAGATAATTCTGAGGCATCTTCCACAGGCCTCTACAGAGGGTCCCAACAGCCCAGAATCCAGTCACCCCCGTACCACCCATTCATGGTTGGCTTTCTCACCTCTGCGCCTCATCTCCCCTCCTGGTACTTTCTAAATTTACCTCCAAAGTAATTCACTTGTGCCCAGGTCCCTAAACCCCTTTTCTCTAGGTTCACTTTGGGGGACACCCGGCCAAAACAACAGTCCGTAAATATGGGCTATTATTATTACTCAGAAGGCTGGATGCAGAATGAGAATGAATTCATAGTCAGAT